ATGGCACAGATGGCACAGCATGGCACAGGTGACACAGCAGATGTGGCACAGCACGGCACAGCATGGGTGGCACAGCATGGCACGGGTGACACAGCACGGCACAGGTGACACAGATGTGACACAGCATGGCACAGGGGACACAGCACGGCACAGGTGGCACAGCACGGGTGACACAGCACGGCATGGGTGACAGCACAGGTGACACAGCACGGCATGGGTGACAGCACAGGTGACACAGCATGGCACAGATGGCACAGCATGGCACGGGTGACACAGCAGATGTGGCACAGCACGGCACAGCATGGGTGGCACAGCACAGGTGACACGGCCTGGCCCGGGTGGCACCCACGCTGTGGTGGCATGGAGTGTCCCAGGCGGGGCTGCGCACCAGGGGGCAACTTGGAGACACCCGGGCAACCAACAGGGCCACCAACACAGCCGGGACACAGCTGTGCTGCCACCCCTCGCTCCGGGCTCCTGTCCCCATGCCCGGTGTCCCCATGCCCAGTGTCCTGGTGTCCCCGTGCCCAGGTCGGACACCGCCATCCTGTACAACGACCGCTCGGTGCTGGAGAACCACCACATCAGCGCCGTGTTCCGCCTGATGCAGGACGAGGAGCTCAACATCTTCGTCAACCTCACCAAGGACGAGTTCGCGTAAGGTCCCCCCGGCGCCGTCCCCGCTGTCCCCTCGCTGTCCCCTCGATGTCCCCTGCTGTCCCCTGAGCATGTCCCCTCCCACAGGGAGCTGCGGGCGCTGGTCATCGAGATGGTCCTGGCCACCGACATGTCCTGCCACTTCCAGCAGGTCAAGTCCATGAAGACGGCGCTGCAGCAGCTGGAGAGGTGGGTGGGGGTGGCGGAGGGGGAGGTCCCCGGCCCCCGGGCGTGTCCCCAGGGGTGGCTTTGGGGACAATCTGAGCGCCGGGCGCTGTCCCCAGGCTGGACAAGTCCAAGGTGCTGTCGCTGCTGCTGCACGCGGCCGACATCAGCCACCCCACCAAGCAGTGGGCGGTGCACAGCCGCTGGACCAAGGCGCTGATGGAGGAGTTCTTCCGGCAGGTAGGGCCGGGGCCGGGCGGGGGACGCGGGGCCACCCCGTGGGGACGCCGCCGATGTCCCTTGCCTTGCCAGGGGGACAAGGAGGCCGAGCTGGGGCTGCCCTTCTCGCCCCTCTGCGACCGCACCTCCACGCTGGTGGCCCAGTCGCAGATCGGTGAGTGCGGGGAGGTTCCCGTCCCCGTCCTGTCCCCGCGCGTCCCCGGCGCGTCCCCAGCCGCGCCGCGTCCCCTCCTGTCCCCAGGGTTCATCGACTTCATCGTGGAGCCGACCTTCTCGGTGCTCACCGACGTGGCCGAGAAGTTGGTGACGCCGCTGGCCGAGGACGGCTCCAAGGCCAAGGGCAACCCCGCGGCCACCCAGCAGCCCAGGTGGGTGTCCCCGTCCCCACGGTTCGTGCCCTGCGGTGGTGGCGGTGGCCCTGGCCCGCTGCCAGCTGTCCCCGTCGTCCCCCAGCTCGCAGTGGCGGCAGCCGTCCCTGGATGAGCACCTGGAGCTGGGGGACCTCAAAGCCGACCTGGCCGGGTTCCGCTCCACCTGGACCAAGCACATCCAGGAGAACAAGCAGAAGTGGAAGGAGAGGGCGGCCAGCGGTAGGGAATGGCCACCACGGCCACCACGGCCACCATGGCCACCATGGCCACCAGGGCCAATATGGCCTCCATGGACATTGTGGCCACTATGGTCACCACAGCCAGCATAGCCACTATGGCCACTGCGGCCAGTATGACCACCATGGCCACTGTGGCCAGTATGGCCACCATGGCCCTTGTGGCCACTATGGCCACCATGGTCAGTATGGCTACCATGGCCATAGTGGCCACTATGGTCATCACGTCCACCATGGCCACTATGGCCACCATGGTCCCCACAGCCACCATGGCCGGTATGGCCTCCATGGACATTGTGGCCACTATGGTCACCACAGCCACCATAGCCACTATGGCCACTGTGGCCAGTATGGCCACCATGACCACTACGGCCTCTATGGCCACCACCACCACTACAGCCTCCAGGGCCACCAGGGCCACCAGTGAGGGGCTGGGGACCACCGTGAACAGCTCAGGGCCAGCTCTGTCGCAGCGTCCCCAGACCGGAGGTGACACAAACGTGGCGCGGGTGGCACAGCCTGGGCTGGGCAGGGGGTGGCCCTGGGTGGGGACAGGAGTTCTGGGGTGTCCGTGGTGACCCTGGTGACCCGGTGCCCCGGTGACCCCGGCCGTGTCCCCCAGGCATCACCAACCAGGCGTCCATCGATGAGCTGTCCCCGTCCCCGGGAGAGGAACCCGCGGCCACCGGGCCCCACAGCGAGAACGGGGACGTGGAATAGCGGCGGGAGGAGCGAGGTGGGGACACCGCAGGGGGTGTGGGGACACCGGGAGAGAGGTGGGGACACCGGAGTGAGGTGGGGACACTGGGATGGGAATGGGGACACCGGGAGAGAGGTGTGGACACTGGGAGAGGGGTGAGGACACCGGGAGAGAGGTGGGGACACCGGGATGGGAATGGGGACACTGAGAGGTGTGGGGACACCGGGAGGGGGTGGGGACACGGCGGTGACTGTCCCGTCCCAGCAGGTCCTTGTCTGACCCAGTGACACCGTCTCGTCTTCGATGCCATCGAGTTCAGCACCATCCGCAGGGCAGGAGCCCCCGGGCCGGGCTCGGATCGGTGTCACCCCCGTGCCAGGACCGGTGTCACCCCCGTGCCGGGACCGGTGTCACCACCATGCCAGGACCAGTGTCACCCCCGTGGCAGGACCGGTGTCACCCCCGTGCCGGGACCGGTGTCACCGCCATGCCGGGACCGGTGTCACCTCTGTGCCAGGAGCCCCCCAGGCCGGGATTGGATCGGTGTCACCCCTGTGGCAGGACTGGTGTCACCTCTGTGCCAAGATCGGTGTCACCGCTGTGCCAGGACTGGTGTCACCTCTGTGCCAAGATCGGTGTCACCGCCGTGCCAGGACCGGTGTCACCTCTGTGCCAAGATTGGTGTCACCGCCGTGCCAGGAGCCCCCCGGGCTGTCCCCTCTGCCACCGGTGCCACCGGTCCCTCACTGCCACCCGGCCGGGCTCGGTCCTTCGGGATTTTTAGAAACGCTTTTCCCGCTCGGGAGGGGCTGGGGTGGGGACAGTGGCGCTGGGGACAGCCCGGGGGGACACGATGGCACCGCCAGGGCCACCGCGCTCCCCTCGGTGCCCGCGGGGTCTGGCTGGTGACACCGTGAGGGTGGCACTGTGCCCTGTCCCCATCCCGCGTGGGGACGGGGACAAGAGAGGGACAGGAGGGGGACAGGAGAGGGGACAGGGACGGGTATGGGGACGGGGACAAGGACAGAAAGTGGGGACAGGGACAGGGACAGGGACAGGGACAGGGACAGGGATGGGGACGGGGACAGGGACAGGGACAGGGATGGGGACGGGGACAGGGACAGGAGAGGGGACAGGGACAGAAGGTGGGGACAGGAGAGGGGACAAGAGAGGGGACAGGGACAGAGAGGTCCCCGCGGGGTCCCGGCCGGCGCGGCGCGGGTGGCGCTGGGGACACGGAGCGGCGGGACAGGGACAGATCCCGCTCCGGTGTCCCCCGGCTCCAGGACCGGAATGTCCCCACTTCCTGCGACATCCGGGAATGCTCGGGAATGCTCGGGGATGCTCGGGAACGCTCCCACACCCCGCTCCAGCCGCCTCGGGACCCCAGAATGTTTGGGGCATCCCAGAATGTTTGGGGCACTCTGGGGAATCCCGGAATGTTTGGGGCATCCTCGGGAACCCCGGAATGTTTGGGGAACCCCGGAATGTTCGGGGCCCCCTCTGGCCCCCGCCCCGTGCCTTGGGAACCCGCGCGCATCCCGGATCATTCCCGCCGGGGATCCCGGATCATTCCCGCCGGGAATCCCGGATCATTCCTGCCCGGGAATCCTGGATCATTCCTGCCCGGGAATCCTGGATCATTCCCGCCGGGAATCCCGGATCATTCCCGCCCGGGGATCCCGGATCATTCCCGCCGGGAATCCCGGATCATTCCCGCCCGGGGATCCCGGATCATTCCCGCCCGGGAATCCCAGATCATTCCCGCCGGGGATCCCGGATCATTCCCGCCCGGGAATCCTGGATCATTCCCGCCGGGGATCCCGGATCATTCCCGCCCGGGAATCCTGGATCATTCCCGCCCGGGAATCCTGGATCATTCCCGCCCGGGAATCCCGGATCATTCCCGCCCGGGAATCCTGGATCATTCCCGCACGGGAATCCCGGATCATTCCCGCCCGGGGATCCCGGATCATTCCTGCCCGGGGATCCCGCAGGATCCTGGATCCACCCTCAGGAACGTTCCAGGATCCTGAATCCACCCTCAGGAATGTTCCAGGATCCCGAATCCAGGCTTGGGATCTTCCAGGATCCTGGATCCAGCCTCGTGAACATTCCAGAATCTCGGATCCGATCTTGGGATCTCCCAGAATCCCAGAGCCAGCCTTGGGAATGTTCCAGAATCCCAGATCCAGCCTTGGGAATCTCCAGGATCCGAAATCCACTCTCGGGAATGTTCCAGAATCCCGGATCCGCCGCCCCTTGAGCACCACCACACCCTCACCCCAAAATCCTGGATTCCCTCCGGCTGCCCCGAGCCCTGGGAATGTTCTGGAACGTCCCCGGGAATGCTCGGGAATGTTCTGGAACACCCGGACCATTCTCCCCACCCGCTCCGGCCCTGGCTCCTGGCACACCCCCCATTTGTATTTTTGTCCCCCGTGTCCCCCCGTGTCCCTCCATGTCCCCCC